AGCGTCCGTGGCCAATCTAGACGCACTTTTCCGCAAAAAAGCCCCGATCGCCCTTTTTGCGATCAGGGCTTTTTTGCAGAAAACAAATGTCAGCTGTCTACACTGGCCCTTTTGGGCAAAAGTTTTGCGCAAAAGGGACTTTTGCCCGAATGGGTATGAGATCGTCAGTGTTCTTGCGGAAATTCAAGCGGCCAGTGTAGACAGCTGGCAAGTTTTTCCGCAAAATCCTGTGATTTCGCGGAAAAACTTGCCAGTCTAGACACAGCCCAAATGTATTTAAAACAAGATTTGCAGGCTCTCCATGTCATGGCCTTTGCTTGCTCAGGTTGTTATACACATCGGCTACGTCTAGACTGGCATGATTTTCTGCAAATGCTTTTAACGGAAAAGTTTTTCCATTAAAAGCATTTGTGAAAAAGAGCGTCTAGATTGGCACGGACGCTTTTGCGCAAAAGCACTTTTTGAGGAAAAGCATCCGTGCCAATCTAGATGCGGTTTTGCGCAAGAAAGCCCCGATTGACATTTTCGAATCAGGGCTTTTTTGCGCAAAACGGTTCTCAGCTGTCTACACTGGCCCTCTTGCACAAAAGCATTTGCGCAAGAGGGCTTTTTCCCAAACGGGAGAGTCATTGTATTTGCGGACGAACACTGACAATCTTACATTAGATCGTCAGTGTTCTTGCGCAAATTCAAAGCTGCCAGTGTAGACAGCTGGCAAGTCTAGACGCAGCCATTTAGTTAGATACGAGCCACTTTTTAATGTACAATAAGATGCTTAACAGCATTCAGTGGTACCAAACCGCACTGGAGTCCAGGAAGGGAGAAAGTGAAGAACTGGTACTTGACATTGTACTGACACAAAACAGGGTAAAGTCTATTGTAGACTATGTCCATGTAACCCTTCTGCCAGTAAAAATGGCCAGAGTCAGATACCTAGGGGTTCCTTTTTAGAATTAAACAAATACCAACCAGTTCAAGCCCCTTCCCGGAGCCTGGGAAAACTAAATACCTTCCCTGGGCATCTTTAACTTCCCCACTCACAAGCACAGAGTCTGCGTGTGAAACAAGGAGAACCATGTTCAAGCAGAAGGGGATGCAGAATCATGTGTAGAAAGGGCCTCTTCAGCACACATTCAGCTCAGTTCCCCAAAGAGCTACTGTGATACCTGATAATAAAATGTCCCTTTCCTTGACTTCCACTGCACTCCCCAAACGATCAATAGCCCAGATTTCAGCTGGCCCATTTCAAACTCTGCTGGGAAGTGGTGGACAGTTTAGTTATGAGTCTTCATCATCTAACTCAACTATTATGACTGCAATATAGCAGTGAAAGAACTATTTTTTTTCTTTTTCTTCTTCCTCCCTTAGGGGGGTGTCATACTTCACTGCTCAACGCTGCCAGATGAAGGACCAGGTTAGGGTGACTCTCATCCAGGGCACCATCGGTGGAGCTCTTTTGCCTGCTGTCACACGGCAATGAGAACAGCATTTCATTATCCTATCACTCACAAACAAATTACAATTTTTCACCACAACCCCACCAAAACTTACACATAACAAAAATGCAAATAAGGCCTGGCTAATTCAGTGTCTTCTCTCTGCTCACCAGTAGATGGCAGAAGAGAGCTCTTTCCCCTGCATCGCTTCTGCCCATCTGGCACTCTCCAGCAGCTCTGGGCCATTCCTTCCCCTGCTCACCAATAAAGGTGGCAGCAAACTCCCAACTCCAGGCCTTCCATCAGATACCAAACAACAACAAAAGTGAAAGTTGTAAAGCTGAGAACACAACACTTAGGGAATGCGATATTTACAATTGCCTATGGCCCCTTAATCCAAACTCCTTGGCTACGTCTAGACTGGCACGATTTTCCGCAAATGCTTTTAATGGAAAACTTTTCCATTAAAAGCATTTGCGGAAAATCGTGCCAGTCTAGACGTAGCCAAGGAGTTTGGATTAAGGGGCCATAGGCAATTGTAAATATCGCATTCCCTAAGTGTTGTGTTCTCAGCTTTACAACTTTCACTTTTGTTGTTGTTTGGTATCTGATGGAAGGCCTGGAGTTGGGAGTTTGCTGCCACCTTTATTGGTGAGCAGGGGAAGGAATGGCCCAGAGCTGCTGGAGAGTGCCAGATGGGCAGAAGCGATGCAGGGGAAAGAGCTCTCTTCTGCCATCTACTGGTGAGCAGAGAGAAGACACTGAATTAGCCAGGCCTTATTTGCATTTTTGTTATGTGTAAGTTTTGGTGGGGTTGTGGTGAAAAATTGTAATTTGTTTGTGAGTGATAGGATAATGAAATGCTGTTCTCATTGCCGTGTGACAGCAGGCAAAAGAGCTCCACCGATGGTGCCCTGGATGAGAGTCACCCTAACCTGGTCCTTCATCTGGCAGCGTTGAGACAGTCCTGGCTTGCACCAGCTCTGGACCACTGTGGCTCTGCATTTTGAACATAGTAAGAGCCACTGGGGTCTTACTACATTTAAAATGCAGAGGCACAGCGGGCCCGACCAGCATGAGCTGGGACTGCTTAGTCCTGGCTCATACCAGGTCCAGCAGCCCGTTCGCAGTGGCCCCGGCTGGCTGCAGAACAGGGGCTGCTGCCGGATCAGCCTCTGCTCCCCTATCGCCCTCCGCCGCCTCTGGTAGAGGCAGCAGTGGGGGGGAGGGGACAGGCGGCACCGTGGAGATGGTGCTGGGGGGAACCAGCTTGTAAGCTGGCTTCCCCTAGCACCAGCTCCTGTTCCCGCCCTGCTTTGCTGCCTCTCTTATACAGAGGCAGCAAGCGGGGTGGGGGTAGCGACTAGTCGAGTACTCCACTCAGCTACCTGATAAGCTTATGCTTTTTGGGTAGTTGACGAATCGCTTACTTCCCTAATCATTCAACTCATCTGCTAGAGTAGAGGTTCTCAACCAGGGATCTGAGGCTCCTGGGGGTCTACAAGGAGAATTTGGGGGCCCCCCTCCAGGGCCAGCATTAGACTTGCTGGGGCCCAGGGCAGAAAGCTGAAGCTCTGCTGCACAGCATTTAAGACAGGCCCTAAATCTTACCCCCCCTCCCCCCCCCGGGGCTGAAATTGAAGCCTGAGCAATGCAGCTTCGCTGGTCACTTCCTAACACCGGCTCTGACTTTTATATGCCGAAAACCAGTTACTGTGACACGGGTGGGCTGTGTCTTTATAGCATGTTGAAGGGGCCTCAAAAAGAAAAAAAGGTCGAGGGAACCTCTGCATTAGAGGCGGCAGGAGTCCTGGGGGGGAAAGAGCCTAGAATTAGTCGTCACCACATTGAATATACACGAGGGGGCCGGACTGAGGTTGCCCACATATCCTTAACTCTGGCCTTCCCTAACTTCTGGGTTTGAGGCCTGGCTCTTGGGTTTTAAGGTGCGTCAGGCTGGTGCTGCAGGACAGGGTTTCTGTGCAGCGCCACCAATGGTGGCCTGACCCCTGTGATGACAGGAGAGTGGCCTGCAAGTCTCCCGGGAGAAAGGAGAACTCGTGGGGAAACCTGGCTGGCAGGCTACGTTTACAGGCCCCAAAGGGAACAGGCAAAGGGACTAGGGGCTCAAAGGAAACCTCAGCTCCCTACAGCTACCCCTACCCTTCCTAGCCAGCACTGCCCTGAAACAACAGAGGTCTCCACTCCAGGGTAGCCCTGAGGACAGCGCGATTCCCCGTCCTTCATGCCAGAGCCACAGTGGCAGCCTGTGGCCAAGAGGAATCACCGCAGAGGAGTGAATTCCTAACAGCCGTCGATGGGCGCATTGGAGAGGGTGGGGTTGGAGCTGGACCAAGCTCCTTGGAGGTGATCTAAAAAAGGTGAGGCAGAGATCTCCAGTTTGATTTTCAGGCCCCTTTGAGACATTTTCCCCTGCATCCGCAGAATGGAACATCACTTTCCGAAAAAGCCTGTTCTGAGAACGGCATTGTCTGGGCATAACACAAATGTCACGGGAGTCATACCCGTCAAGCACAGCTTTTAAAGTCAGACCTCCTTTCACCTTCTCCCATAGCTTAGTCTAGTACAAAGGGCCGGAGCCAGCAGCAATGGCATCAGTTAAGAAAGGGAGACCTTTTGCTTAATGATAAAAACTTCCCAAGGGGTGGAATGGCTTCCCATTGTTTGGGACATTTAAAACTAGACTTGTCAAACAGTCATGAAGGTACAACAGAACCACATTCCTACACCAGCAGGGAGATAAGCTAGAGAGCTACTCCTGGAATTTCTAGTACCATTTTTCAATGAGGCCGGAAGAAAAACCGTTTTCAGTTTAGTGAGAAAATCTAAGGGAAACATCCTTCAAAATGTAAAAACAGCTAGTCGTCCCGTGGCATCGTAGAGACTAACAAAAATAGATATGTATCAGCATGAGCTTTCGTGGGCAGAACCCTCTTCCTCAGATGGGCTGGAAAAAGTTCTAAAATTTAGAAATTTTAAAGAAAGCTTCAAACCCAGGGAAAAATTCAATCAGACTCCAGATTCATTGATGTGGGGGAGGAGGGCGGAAGGGGAGGGGAGGAAGGAGGTTGAGCAAGAAGGAATATAATATGCTTCGGTATAAATCTCTGCATGAGCTCTACTTAACCTGGCCCCCTTTTATTCCTAAATGAATAGCTCTGATGCTCAGGTGGCCTTCAAGAGCATCTGTCTGTGAAAGCAAGTTAACAAGGGGAAAGGCCATTCAAGATGCTGAACCAAACTCTCTCCAATGATATTATGGGACTCCTGGACATCTATCATGACCTTCTAGTGTTCTATGATTCTATGATTGTTCCTTCTAAGATTTTTCCATACGTGAGCGGAGCGAGTTTTGTCTTGTGCACCAATATTGACATCATGTGCGCTTAGCCTGATGTGCGCCACTGTGGCACCCACCAGTTACTAACAAAAGTAAATATAAATGTAAATTGTGATGTAAGAAAAAAATACTAAATCAAGGGATAATTAATGTGCACGACCCTAGACTCAATCAGCATGTGGAATAAATCAAGACAATGTTTGTAGCAGCAATTTCCCAATTTATTGAAACTGATTGATTTTGCAAGTATGTCTAAGCTAATCCCATCACAGAAAGTAATCATAATCAGTAGGCAATACCTTTGGCACGCCTAGGCAGACAAGAAACTGTGAGATCAACTAGAAAATAAGGTAATATTTACCTGAACTACATTTACAGAAAATCAGTACAACACACGGTCATGTTCTCCCACTGACTTCTGATTACTAAAATCTCCCCACCTCCCCATAATATTAAACACATCTTCAATACAAACACAGGTTTATAATAATTAATATAAAGTCAGTATAATATAGAATATTCCCAGCAAAAAAAAAAAAAAAATAGTCAACAATCTTCAAACACTGTCCTGGTGTTTTTTTTTTAATTTTTAGTTTTATTTTTGCAGACAGGTTTAAAGCATGTTGAAAAATAAATATATATGAAAGCATACACACAGCACTCTTACTATGCAGAAAGTCTAAAAAAGGCAGAAATCCAAAACACAATATAGAATCTAAAAATAAAAAGAACCATTAAGTATGGCTTTCTTAAGAGTTGCACATGTCACAGAATGAGCTAAAATAAGATTATCTTTCATAATATTGCAAAAAATTCCAGTTTTTGCATTTTCTTGGAGTTTTTTTTTTTTAAAGGGTGATGTGCAAAATTGGAAGCATTAAGGTGGATCTTTTTCATGGAGGCTCCTATTCAAAGATGGCAGTGTTCTGACGGAACCCTCTACTGCAAATGGAGAGTCAAAATATACAACTTTGTCAGGAACAAGAGTTTGACACACAATCCAAAGTAATAAATTCCCAAATATACACACACATATATAAAAAATCAACTGAATGCAATTTTCACTTTGGAGTTGCAGAACATTTAAAGGCATAATTCAAGATACAAAACATAAAATGGGACCTAATGCTAAAGTAGGTTTCCTTTTGATAAGAAAATATTCCTTTAATAGTCCAAGCACTATTTGTTTTTCAAAAGAGCCAGTCACTTTGAAAACCTTCATGAGACATGTCCCCCTTCTTATGTCCCTGCAAAATCATTCTGTATCTTTGTGAGGTTTTTATGGTGACCTTACATTTTATATATTAAACCAACTATATTCAAATATATATATAAATTAGGATTTTTAAAAGATTTTTTGAAAGAAACAAAAAGTTGACAGGAAGGAAAAGCCAAGAACCTAAGTTGCCTGCATTGTTTGAGAACGTTTAAATGCAGTATTATACAAAGATATAACTTACTGCATCATTTAGCATTCTTTAGGTATTTATTTATAGAACTGAAGAAATACACTGAACTGCATGAAAACTTAGCAAAGCTTTGTTTGAGATGCTGTTTGTAGTTCTGGTCCTGTTTTATATATAAAAAGAAGAGAATAAAAAAAGAGATTTGGGATATAGTGATTACACATTACATATGCTTTAATAAAAAAAAAAAAAAAAAAAAAGTTAACCACAACATTTCCACTGACACCAAATGTCTTAATTTTTCATTTTGAAGGAAATTATTTTCTGAAACTCAATCTGCATTTTTTTTAAGAAAATGAAATTTAAAAAGGGAACCTCAATAAAATATAAAAGTTTCTAAAGGGAAATATAAGAGTAGATGATAAAGATTATTTGACCTAGTGTTGGACAGAATGACATTTAGGTAAAATTTCTTTACATAGAACAGCAAAGAGAGAAATGTACATAGGTAGCTAATTTACACAAGTATCTGGACAGAGAAAAATGTGAGGTACGGTTGCTAACTCTACTCCTCAAACTTACAAAGTCTTAAACACCTGCACAAAGTTGTGCATTTGCTTATGGCTTTGCGGAATTGGGCCTGAAGACAGACCTGGAAATTGCTGGTATCTTTCCATGCTTAATTTCCTGCTTTCAAATCTTTGATTTCTTTTCATTTTTAAAATTAACCCTGCAGTTAAACACAGTGCAGCTTCAGATTTAAGTTTATAAAACATAGATAAGTGAAGTAACTGGTAAAGTTGTATAAAGAGACCCCCTTTCTATTTGATAGAAAGCATCACTGTTTTTAGAATCAACTTCTTTTTAAAAATAAAATCCCATGTCTCTCTGCAATAGGGTGTGGAAGTTTAAAAAGCTATTCCTGACAGGTATTTAATTTCCAAATCTGCACACCTCCATCAAAAACAAAGCACTTAAAATTATACATCACATATTAGAATGATTTATTTGGTATATATATTTATTTAGTGTAAGTTAGTAATATAGACACATGTGCTATATTATAATTTTAACAATATAACAAGTTAGTTTTTTGTGGGTTCCTCTCTCTCTCTCTTTTTTGCATCCTCAGTATGAAGAGCACAGAAGTGGCACTAGTAGAAAACATTTATGAAAGCCATTTGGCTTATTGTCCGCTATAAAAAAAAGGAAAAGAAAAAAGCAATATAAAATATTTCCAAATAAAACACAAAATAAAGCTAAGCACCCCCAAAATGTTCATACAAAATCAAGTTTGCCCAAAATGAGGGCGGGGACAAAGTCAACTCAGGATCAATACATTTTGTTTCTCCCTAGTGAATTTGTACAGTGGGGTGAGGGTGGACGAAAGAAGTGGAATGTCTTAGGAACTGAAGGTCATGTAGGTGGTTTCAGGGTTTTTTTCTCCATTTTAAAATAGATTTTATATATAAAGAGACAAGCTACAGGTATCTCTAAAGTATGTATTTGTCTATATGTGACCTGTGACTGCTGGAAGTTTAGGAAAAAAACGTAATATTTACAGAATAACTGGCAATAAATTGACAGCCTGCATATTTGATAGGTGAAAGTACGCAAGTTCATGTAACAGTGACCTGGTTTTATGATAACACAGAATGGACACAACTGCTGATTTCTTTTGCACTTAGAAAAAGGGATATAAAGGTCCAATCTTAAAACACTGGTTCTTTTAAAATATAGTAATAGGGCTTTATAACAAGCTAAAATGCAAAAAACAGCTGTTTACAGTTTCATAAACATGGTTTTATATGACCCTCCCACACTATTCCTTGAATATTCAGAGAATCTGGTTGCCCATTTTTGTTTGGTAATTTTTTCAATCCTAAATACGAGCAGCAGTGTAGACAGTAATAACAGAACTTTGCTTTGTGCTACCAGTAGATTTAAGAACATGGACTGTTTTAGAAAAAACATTTGTCCAAATTACCGACCAATACCAAACTTGAACAGTCACAATTTTGGTGCTTATACACAATGTGAAAGTACAAACCACTGTGAGAAGAGTCCCACAGTTTGGGGAGGAAGAAAACATGCAGAGGAAAACCGGTCAGTTTCTTGAAAAGAAAAAGAAACTCAGGATAGTTGCAGAGAAAAGGAATAAAATACATTAAATAATGGTGATTTGACCTTTCAAATACAGCAATGCCTAATGGTCCAGCTATTCTAGGGTGCCAAGTAGGTAGACACTTGCATTATGACACTTCACTGGGAAGAGATCAGTGGCACCAAATAGCTGAAATACCTAAAGATTTATTTACTGTGATTTTGTACAGTAGACTCTGCTTTTATTTTATTCCCTGGGTAGAACCATGCTTTCCATTTTTAAAAAAATTAAATACAAGGACTTAAAAGGTTTCCCCACAAGAAATTGCCTTTCCCACAATTGGGGGAAAAATAGCACCTTTTAATAATTTGGCTTCCTAGATTTAACTGGTTGCCTCTTGGTCTTGTTTGTGGCAGGTTTCAAGACCATCATTATCATAGACATTGTATAAAAATCTGCTCCAGAGCTAGAAAACAGTGAGGTCCTTCAGCCTTTTTATTTAAAAGCACCAAAACATAAAGGTGAAAGGTGAGCAGAAGCTTATATTCTGACCAGGACACTTTCACTGAGTTTTTTAAGTAAATGTCATAGGAAGGCAGCAGTGGCCAATATGACCTGAACTATTTGGAACACACCCATGTAAATTCTACTCTATACACAAAAAAAGAGAGAAGAGATGCTCTAGTGGAGAAATCTGGTTCTGTAAAAGGGAAGGCTCTCAGAGAATCAACCTGGCTGAAGCAAAGGTAGTTCTACTTAGTCAGTTAAACATACAGACTATACTTACAAATTAAGTAACAATGCTTTAGCTTGGCAAAGATGAATAATATAACTTGGGTGAAATCTTGACTTTGGAGCTAGGATTTCTCCCCTTGTTTCTTGAGTTTTCTACAATTCATTTTGTTAACTGACTAGCACATTCCTAAAATTTGCATATAAATATGAAAAAAAGGCAGTTCGTTGACACCTAAGGAAGAAAGGCGACAACATGCATGTAAACCAAGCAACTGGGTACTAACTCCATGGGTCTTTTATAGCAAACACATCTTATGGACACACCAACACTCATTTCACACCATATTACTAAATAGGGTTGAAAAACTGGACACTGTTAAAAGTTGCCAGTGGGTTCAAATAATTTAATGATCTTTAACCTGATGGACCATTTGGAAGTAAAGACCCATGGTTGTGAAAGGGGTTCTTAAGGCGGCAGCCCGAATTGCTGTTTGATCTAATAGGTTCCATAAAAAAAAAAACATAAGTTAAAACAATTAAATATTTAAATTAATTATTTGTGCGAAAGACTTGGGGTATTATGGAGAAGCCCTCCAACACACAGGTCAATTTGCTTACACGATGCTCGTTTGTAAGTAAGTCCACTGCTGCTGTGAATTTAGAACAAACAAAACTTGAAAAAAAGTTGTTTGGGACACAAAACCTCCCTGCTATTTAATTCAGGGTGGGGAAGGTTTATAACAGGAACACGTACTTTATACATCTCCTAGTCTCTCTCTGTCTCTCCCTCGCAGTGCTCACGTCTTCAGAAACTCTAAGTCACTTGCATGCAATCTGATTTGCTCCCACAGAGAGGCAAAGACAGACAATCATATGTTTCCATGGGGGAAGAAGAGGAAGGGTAATGTAACTGATGCCACTAAAAGTGACACTTACTAATACCATATCTGAATGGGAGAGATAAAGGACTTGTTTGTTTAAAAAAAAACACAAACAACTGTTTTGCACACATGGACAACGACAAGGCTACTTAGTTTTTCCCAGCACACACTGTCTTCCCTCCCTCCCCCTACAAACAAAACTTTCCCCACCTCCCTAAGAAATCCAAGTAAAATCCTTGTCATTCTCCCCAGAGTTCTCTTGCTCCTGTGGAGAGTCAACATCTTCTTTGTCATCTTCTAGAATCACGTCATCCTGTGAGATTCCGACGTCATCTTTCCATTTTATATCATCGTCATCGCCCATCTCTTCATCTCCCTCCACTTTCATGTCATCTGGATCTTCCATGTACTGGCCTTCGCCAGGATATAATTCATCTGGAGAGCCTTCGCCTCCGTTCTGGTCTAAGTGGCCTGGTATGCCTCGACCAGAGCAATCGGCACAAACTCCGTGGCGGCGGGAGCCGTGCTTGATTCCCACGCTGGCTGCAGACATGAACACTCTGTTGCACACTTTGCATACGTATTTTTTGTCTTTGCTGTGGACCTAGGGAAGGAAAAATCACAAAGAAAAAGAAATTAAGGTGGAGAAGACGAAGCAGAGAATTGCAAACGTGGTCCATGAGAGAAGCAATGCTTTCTGTTTTGCTGTAAAGGGGAAAAAAATAGTGTGGCTTGTGACTATCACTGGCTGCTATTTGGGACAGAAATGATGGATCTCAAGTATGACTTTTCCCCTCTGTAGTTGTACTAATATTAGTAGGAAGGTATTTTACAATGGAAAATCTTTTTGTTTTGAAACACCTCCGACTGTGAAACCAATAATTTCAGTCTAGGAACCAACTTCTATTGGTCTACATTTACCATGGGGCAAGAGAGCACACACGACTAAAATTCCTACTACATTTTGAAAGTCACACATAATCTTAAAATAGCTACCACCAGATGTTAGTTAAAAGCTACCGGTAAACATGTCTCAAGGATACAACAAACATTTCAGTGTTTGCTATAGGTTGGATAAGGGGTCAGTCTACCTCAGGGCTGTGCCTAGACTGGCAAGTTTTTCTGTAAAATCATCTGCTTTTGAGGAAAAACTTGCCAGCTGTCTACACTGGCCGCTTGAATTTCCACAAAAGCACTGACGATCTCATGTAAGATTGTCAGTGCTTTTGCGGAAATACTATGCTGCTCCCGTTTGGGCAAAAGTCTTTTTCCGAAAAACTTTTGCACAAAAGGGCCAGTGTAGCCAGCAGAGATTTGTTTTCCGCAAAAAAGCCCCGATCGCGAAAATGGCAATCCGGGCTTTTTTGTGGAAAAGCGCGTCTAGATTGGCCACGGACGCTTTTCTGCAAAAAGTGCTTTTGCGGAAAAGCGTCCTGCCAATCTAGACACTCTTTTCCGCAAATGCTTTTAACAGAAAACTTTTCTGTTAAAAGCATTTCTGGAAAATCATGCCAGTGTAGACGTAGCCCAGGAGTATTTTGACTGGTATATCTATGTCAGCATAGCTACTGTGTGCAAAACACTACTATAGATACACTGCACTGATGTAAAGAGAGGTTTACTTTGGCAGCTCACCAGTTTGCAAAGACATGCCTTTGCAAAGCTTATCTTGGACTGGTAAAGTGTGTCCATGTGAGAGGTGTACCCTGTGTTAGTTGCATTGACACAGTTACCTGGGTACATTTTTCAAAAATGCTCTCAATGAAGACAGGTTCACAGGTGATAAATTATAAACAGCTGTCAGGATACTGTAATGGATGAATTTAGCAGTCTTTTTTCCATCACTATCAGCACAGGTGAAAGAATTAAAACCTTGCCAATGAATCCACTGAAATAAAAAAGCTAAACAAAAAAACCAAACCACCTTCTACTGCCCATCAGCTTCAAAAGTTGTGTCTGCTTTGACAGCTGAAGGTGGTTTGTCACAAAAGTTTCTGTTCCTTGAAAGAGTCACACAGCATTGTGTGTCTGAGCCCGGCATTATGCACTGCTGTTCCAATTACAGAGTACAAGTAGCTGTGGAAAAGTAATCTGCAGGATTTATTCAGCGGGAGAACATTGTTCGAATTGACCCAGACTTCACAGCATAATAACCAGAACTAAATACTTGAAGAGTGTGTATGTTCAAACACAGCACTTTACAAAGTACCCTCATACATGTGATCGCTGCCTTAGAGCATTTTCACGTTAGATGAAGCAAGGGATTGCATTTGCTCATTAAGCTCATTTGCTACACTCCACTCCTAAAGAAAAGAAAGCATCGGCTGGGTCAGGATTACTGAATTCTACTTCAATAGAGTCACACCAAAAATACTATGGTGTACACACGCTTTTAACAATTCTTTCTGTTAAGATGTTACGGTGCCAAGAGGGCTCTGGAAATAGGTATTCAAATAGATTGTGACTATTCTTTGAACTGATAGGCCTACCATGTCCACCAGAGAAAAGACCAATCTAATTTTGTCTGTTTGAGGCTACAAGCCCTGGTCTACGCTAGGGCGTTATTTCAAAATCACCCCCCCCCGCGTTGACACCGTCAAGCCCGTTATTTCGAAATAATAGGCTGGTTATTTTGAAATCTGTACTCCTGCTTTTCTCAGGGAATAAGGCTTATTTCAAAATAGCAGTCGTGTGGACGCTCCGATGATGCTATTTCGAAATAACTCCCCAGAGTAATTTGAAGTAATTACTCCTCAGTGCTTCCTGGGGCTCTCAGTCAAGGTAGCGCATCCGCATTAACGGAGCTTGCCTTGGACTAATTTCCAGGCTTCCCCTTAGTGGGGACACGCTACAGTATTTCGATTTTGTTATTTCAGGAGTTATTTCAAATTTAGTTATTTTGAAATTATTTCCTAGAGTAGACATGTCCCAAAGCAATACAAACTATGTTGGTTATGCCACACAGTCACTGTAAGAAGGAATTGATTAAAAAAAAAACAAAATTAAAAGCTAGACTTTGACCTGACAATCTGAGTTATGAACAAATGCTTCCTCTCTTTCAAATAAGGCAGTAGCTTGGGCTTTTCAACGTAAGGAGATAGGAGGCCAAATTTTAAAGCAGAGCAACTTACATCACCTGATGCAAGGTATTTGTGTGACAATCTGAAATTAATCTGAAACCAATCAGGAAACATGCAAAATGCCATTGAGAGAGAAAAAAATAGGTCCAGATACAGCTGTGCTCTTAGTCTCCTTTGAACAGGAGATGGCAGTCTTGTAGCAGAAGAATGGGTCTGGACTCAGATCTGGGTTTAATTCCCAAATCTGCCACAGGCTGCCTGGTGAGCCTGGATAATTCACTTCATACTTGTGCCTAAATTACCGATTTGCCAAATGGGGAATACTACCCATTTCTTTTCTCCTACCCTTTGTCTGCTTTGTCGCAAGCTCTTTGGGGAAGGGGTCAGCCTCTCATTATATATTTGCAATAATGGGGCCCCAATTATGGTTGGCTAGCCAGGCACTATAATAAACTGTTTGGGTCCCTGGGGGATATAAATAATGAATAAAAACAGGCAGAGGAAATCCATTTTAACTAACTGCAGTTAAAAGAAAGAACTCTTGAAATTCCAGTAAAACCTGCATAGCAAACTTTTCTCTTCTTTTGGTGCTTTCCAAATTAATTGTATATGACCGACACAGCTAGTGCCAAGGCTAAATGCATGCAAGAGCGGGCTGAGCTGCTCATACTTTTGCTGCCTTCAGGAAAGGCTAGCTGTGCTGCAGGACCGAGAACTGCAATTACTGACAAGTCTGAATCCCCCAATGCCCTGTCTCAGCTCAAAGGAAAGGGGTTTCTAGATGTTTCAGAGTCACTGGATTGCACTTGACCACTATTGTGACATTGGCACAGACCCTGTGTCTGGCATTACATTCCCACAACAAAACATTTTCTTGAAATTTTATATCTACGAGCAACACTTCCTCACATAACTGTGGAGTTGTCAAACACTCCACTCCAGAGAACACTAAGCTCTCTGCTGATTTCTGTTCCTTAAAATTTGAGGCAGCTGGGAGTATAAAGAACACAATATCCCCAATCTCAGAGTTAGGTTATTTGATCAGTCTGTAATCATTCTGTTTAGCAATACTTATGGATTGTGTTAGGTGAGGGGCCATATGAGACCAGCACGTCTATGCATACCGCGCTAGAAATCGATCTTCTGGCACTCGATTTAGTGGGTCTAGTTAAGACATGCTAAATTGAACACTGAGGGCAGCTCTGGGCAATGCCAGTACTCCTCGCAGTCACAAGGAATAAGGGAATCCAACAGGAGCATTTGCTCCCGTCGGCCTCCTTTTGTGAAGATGACGTCAAGCTCGTCTTGCATTAAGCCGACTCCAGATACATGTATGACGCAGCTGGAGTTGTGTACCTTAACCCAAACTTCCAGGTCTAGTGTAGACCTGGCCTTAGAGACTGACTATTAGGCTTATTCCCTAAAAAAATCTGTTAGTTTCTAAGGTGCCATGGTTGTTTTTGCAGACCAACATGGCTGGTCCTCTGATGGGCCCTCAAAGCTGCCAAGAAATGCAACTCATGAATGAGGAGCACAGGCTCAGGAAGCAGCTTTCTAGTCCAATCTGTATGTCTTTCCCCTTGAAGCACACAGCTCAATTGTGAGAACAGGTGTCTTGGACACATGAAAGAAGCCATAACTGGTTCCCCACCCTCCATCACAAGCACCATGTAGTTTTCTGGTCACTGATGGACTAGGCAATGTGAACGAGAAAGGAGAAAAAAAACCAAGAGAGCAAAGTCTAATTAAAATGGTCAAGAAAAAGGAGGAATGGGAGTAAGAGGAGGAGCATAAAAAAGAAGCAGAAGAGTAAAGTGAGTCAACAGAAAGATTAGAAACACAGTAACTGAATCAGCAGATAGCATGGGGAGATGAAGGACTTCAATAAAAGAAGAACTGCCTGTATTTCTTGTGCTCTTAACATAGTTGCACACAAAGTGCATCTACTCAAAGGGGGACATGGTGGCCCCAAACCCAAGGACAAGCATAATGATCACATCCGGGGAAGTTGTGGCCTCTTGGAAAAAAACTGGCCGAGGATCATGGACCACTTTCTAGGTGTCTGTTGGCATTCCAAGGCATTTGGGATCATGAGTGTGGGGGAAAAACGCTTACTCAGAAGAAGGCCAGTTAAGAATATCATTAATTGAGTCACAGAAGAATTATATTTCCTGGATCTGATTGCCAAGCCAATTGTTCTATGGCAAGTCCTATGTTCTTATTCCTAGTACAAGCCACCTGGATCACCACCAGGCTACTAGGATGTTTAATTTCCTTTTCCGTTACCCAGCTGAACTAAAGGTATCTGTAGAGAGAACAAATGAACCACCTTTATCTACTCAACATACCACTATAGATAAGCTAGTTATGCTTCTGTTTTGATCAACACTTAGTTTACCAAAGCCCTGTGCATTCTTACTCCTATCAACTACACATTCTTCCATGCTCTGAAATAGTTTTCAAGTTGGGTTCTTGAAAACTATTTGAGATGATACCAGTGTATGTATTTCCATACATATGCGAA